AATCTGAATCTGTAAAAGCGACAAAGAGTCCTGTGGCACCTTATAGACTAACAGAAGTATTGGAGTATAAGCTTTCGTGGGTGACTACCCACCTCGTCAGACGCGTCTGACAAAGTGGGTAGTCACCCACAAAAGCTTATGCTCCAATACTTCTGTTAGTCTATAAGGTGCCACAGGACTCTTTGTCGCTAATTTCACTTCGGTTCATCTCAGTATCAGTGGCCCCAAGAGTTCAAAAATCATGATTCAGGCCTCAGACATCATGATCTTAGCATAAAAACAATTAAGTTAAACAAAAATGTGTTCTTTTTATTTACCTGGTAGTGCTTAAGCATTTAGGGTTCATGGTTTCAGGCTTTTGTATGCAACTATGAGGCCCAGAAAGCTCCCCTTTTTTTTTTTTTAGGAAAGCTAAAATTCACAGATTATTGGATTCTAACAGCCAGGGCTCCAAGAAAAATACCATAAATCAAAAGAGCTGACAACACTCCTGCCTTAATATTAGGATTAATATCTCAAACTATTTTTGTTTTTTGTTTTCAGTACGAACTGGGATTTCAGTAAAATAGAGTTGAAATGCTTAAATGTAAAATTGAAAGAAAAAATTGTAAATCTTTAACATTAATTTCCATTCTCTGGAGGTCTCCCCCGTGTTTTTCTTTTGTTTTTGAAGAATCTTCTCTCTCAATGGTATGGGGTGTATTAGACTATGAAGACAATTTAAATTTTTATTTAAATGACAGCTAAGTACTGTTTTTAAAATGTTGTCCTCCTCCTAGTTGTTGCCATCTCTCAGGCTTCTTTGGTGCTGAAATTAACATGGTTTATATTAAGCAACAGAGGGTCCTGTGGCACCTTTAAGACTAACAGAAGGTTTATATTGGTTTATGGTTTATATTGTTTAATATACCTTTCTTTAGTTCACCACTTTATCAATTATCCCATTACCCATCTCTTGGATCAGGTCAGAAATCAGACATGACAAGGTATGAATACAACTCTACCCCAATATAACGTGACCCGATATAACATGAATTCAGATATAACACGGTAAAGCAGCGCTCGGGGGGCGGGGGGGGGGGGGGGGGGG